ACTTATAACCCCAATTAAGGGACTATTATTTACTAAGCCCCATGATCCTCCAAGTACGTCCTGCTGCAACACTATATATGTGGAAGACATTCATATGCCCTTCGAGAGAGATGTAGATACAAACGCAGACACTGTGCGGGACTGCAGGCACACGAGTGGACCTGCGAACTGTCTACAAAGCTGGAACCCCTTCTGGCACCTATGATGAGCCCCATGAGCCCTCAGTCCGAAACCTTGGAGCTTCAGGCACAGTCGGCCTTTCACCCCACCAAGAAGGCCCGGTGAGCCCCGTAGACTTTGGGCATGTCTTCGACACCAAAATCCCCGAGCCCTTTCCTCCCGAAACACATTCCGGTAGTTGTCTTCGAGCGCCGAGCGTGAAGGGATTTCGATCTCTGAAGGTGGCGCTCGACGGCCTGTTGCTCCTCGGGCTTCCAGCGCCACTTTGGCGAGGAGCTTCACACGGCTTTGGGGAAGTTTGGCACGGTTGGTGGAAGGGCTGAGGCTGAGGGACGTCGCCTTGTAGGAGTGATATAGCAGCGCCAGGAAAAAAGCGGCTGTGCTGACATCAACAGCATCGGCACCAGCATCACTCATCGTCATCGTCATCATCACCTGCATCATCATCATCATCATCATCACCATGGGCAGCAATGGTTGTCATAGTGGTAGCGGTAGTGGTAGTCGCAGTAGTCGTCGTCGTCGTGGTGGTGGTAGCAGTAGTTGCAGTAGTAGGAGTAGTAGCAGCAGCAGCAACAGGAGTAGTGTTACAGGGTTAATTCCGGGCACATGATGTTGCCACAGACATCGAGGTGAGCGTGGCACCTCGCTCCAAAACTACTTTGTTCCCCTGGCACATGCCACCTGGCAGACGTTGACTTCAGCAAGACTTCGCGAGTACTTGAAGGCTCATGGGTAGTTATAAGTTGGGTTATAAGTCCCCTAACATGGGTTGTAAGTATAGTTAACATGGGTTATAAGTATAGTTACCCTACCTATAACCCTATTTATAACTACCCATGAACCTCCAAGTACGTGCGTCAAAGTGCCCGTTCCTGGTCCCTGGCACGTTGCCAACCTCCCAAAAACGACTACTGCCGAGGCCGAAATCTGCACCTTAGGGCCCCACCCGACGCGGAAGGCGTTCGCAGGACATGCTTCGCCTCGGCTTCCGCTCATGTCTACAACCCTGATGGAGCCCTGAACCCGCAACCCTACAGGCCCAAACCCTGCAGCCCACACGCCCAAGCAAACCCGTAGAGAACGCTTCAGATCTGCGCCCGCAGCCTATGAAGGCATTTCAGTCTGGGGACCAATCGTTAAGCTTCCTTTGCTTAAGGCCGAGGCGATGATATAGGTGTAATGACATGTAATGACATTACCGACAGGAAACGAAGGAAACTCCAAAAAGGTGAACCACACTAGGGTTCCGGGCTTAGCAGCTATGCAGATAGCCTAAATCGTGTTGAAAAGCGCTCGAAGGGACCTTAGACAGAACCTTTTATCACCAAAATGGTATAGGTTAGTATGAAGGCCGCTATGTTAGTTGGTATGCTTCTCGTGTCCTACTATACAGGTTTTTCAAGCTGGGCACATTTATCCTACCTCTACATGAGGGGACCAGGTCTGGGCTCGTGCACAGGGCTTCCATAACGTGCCGCTGTGTCTCTTATGTAACCCCGACCTACCTACCTACCTACCTACCTACCTACCTTAACCTACCTACCTACCTACCTTAACCTACCTACCTACCTACCTACCTACCTTAACCTACCTTAACCCACTTTTTTGTAGGTTCTTAGTGTACACTGTATACCCTAATATGGGATTTATAGGAACCTTACAAAAAAGTAGGTTCTGGTAGGTTAAGGTACCCAGCTACCTGTCGAATCTATCCGTCCATTTGTCTATCTATCTACCTATCTATCTGTCTGTCTCATCTGAATCTAGGTATAGGTGTATCTTGAGAAAAAAGGGCAGGCATACACAAACGCATGCATGCATGCATGCATGCATGCATTGCTTGCTGAGCGTACATACGAAAACACAAGAAGATCTTGTTGACATAACTTGTTGGAAAAATAGACAAAGAGAGGTGGAAAGACAGAGACCGACAGAGAGAAGGAGAGAGAGGGAGAGGGAGAGAGAGAGAGAGAGAGTATATGATGCTACCCCAACCTGCTTCCAATTTGGTTGTAAACTTGGCGCGCAAACCCTTGCGCAAAAAATATGAACCCCACAACCCGGAAGGAACTTTTCTTCAAGTAGTTCCACAGGGCTTCGTGTCACGATTTAAACAAACATACACAAAGGAGTTCGGAGTCCGCCAAACCCTTTTACTCTGAGCATGTATCATATAGTAAACCCCAGAAAAGTCGGAAACCGGACTAAGGACGATTAGTGCTGGGATTCCCTATACATTACTCTTACGGATTGAGGCTGTTGGGCTTCCAATTTTGGGGCTTCTGCTGTACGCCCAAGAGCCGCAAAGAATTCTAAGGCCCCGAACGCATCGCCGCCCCGCCGAGATCCCGAGGAGCTGCGGTGCCTTTAGGGTTTAGGGTTTAGGGTTTAGGTTTAGGGTTTAGGGTTTAGGGTTTGGTTAACGATTTGGGGGCTGGGGGACATAGGGGCGTAGGGTCTGGAGGTCTAGGGTTTGGGGGTTTAGGGCTCAGGGTTTAAGGGCTTTCGGGGCTTAGTGGCCTTGGGGATGTTACTTTAGTTTTGGGCGCTTTCTCCGATACATCTGCAGCGATGTAGGGGTTTGGGTTTCCGGGAGTGTCGGGGGAGTGACTAGGGTAGACTCCAGAAGTTTATGTATGGCTTTAGGTAAGGGGCCTGAGGACTGGCTCCGCCTTCCGGGGCTCTAGAGTCTCCCATTAGGGTCAGGTTTAGGGTTTAGGGTTTGGGGTTTAGGGTTTAGGGTCTAGGGTTTAGAGGTCAACTCGAGAAAGGATCAGAGGTTGGGAAGTCCAGCATGAGCAAGAGCCATGATTTACGCAGATGCCGGGCCTAGCAAGTCAGGCCGTTTTTTTCCTCGCCAGCTCGGAGGCTCCGACAAAGGTGGCCCTTTCTCCCTCTCGGACGGCCTTGGGCCTCGGAGGTTACGCGGCGTCCGTCTCCGGGGTCCCCGTGGGCTCTTTCGGCGCCGGCCTGCCGGAAAGCCCTCTTCTGCAGACTTGAGCCATCAGCGACGCCGTCCGGAACAGGTTCACCACCAAGACGGAGCCCAAGAGGAGGTACCTCGGCTTCTTGTGGGGTCCTTTGGCTTAGATGGACACCGGAGCACTTACACAAGATACGTGGACAAAGAAAAGGTCATTCTGGAGAGGACTGCGGTACCACACCAAGGGGTAGATCGTGGAGAAGGTAAGGGTGAAGCCTCCGTCCTTCGCAGCCAGATCTTCCTCCAGCATTATCATCACTCGTCGGATGATCACGAAGGTGCTGAAACCTGTGCTATTGGGATGAACCATGAACTGTTCATTGCATCGACCACAAGGCACGTCTAGCCGGCTAGGGCTCTAAACACCAAGCCCAAATGCCTCGGTCGGCAACAGACTAACGGAACAAAAACAGCGAGCAGCCGAGGATGATGTTCGTTGCGAGGAGGTGGGCGATCATGAAGACCTCAAGTTCAAAGCCTCTTCCCCAAGTATATAGGGGCCTTCATAATTAGAATACGGTTTTGGGGCCCATCAAACTATAATTGTAATAAGGAGCCCCCAAAACCCTATTCTCATTATTTAAGGCCGCTACATAAGATTTGAAGGGGCAAGGCCATGAGCAAGGCTCCCTGGTTCAGCACATCTTCACATGCTGCTGCGCGTGGCAGACGATGGACCAAAAGACCATGCCTTTCCCTGGAACTGTCGCCGCAAGTTCTGCAGCAACTCAAACGAAATATAGTAACAATACTACTAACAATAACCAATAATAGCAATAATAACAACAACAATGACTATCATAATAACAATAACAACGATAATAATAATAATAATAATAATACAAGTAGTAAGAGTAAGAAGAAGAATACATGCACGCACCTACAGTCCATGCAGCCCATGTTCAAGCCAACATCGTCAAGAGCAGCCAACACGAGGCGAGGCACGTTGAAAACGTAGCTGTGCTCGTCCACAAGGGGCATATCCTTAGGCCACTTGGAGACCATCTCACAGAATGTGAGGGTTGGAGGTTGTGGGGAAGACAGGAGAGTCGGGAAGTGTGGAAAGTGAAGATGAGACAATGACTACAAAAACGTCGACAGTGATAGCTTAGATTTGGCTGGTTGGCATTGAAGACTGGCTGCGGACGTATGCACCATACCACCATAATGCTTCTTGGTACCACGGCTGTTCGTGCTGTCGCTAGGGCACAAGCCAGAGATCTGAAAGCCCCAACCCGAAGATGTCCGACGGAAGCAAACAGCAAGAGCCCAAGCAGCACCACGGGATCGACAGAAGGAATATACCCAGAGAACCAAATACCCCTTAAATAAGGAATATACCTTAAATTATAGGGGCCCTAATATTATGATTTAAGGTACATTCCTTAATTAAGGGGTATTGGGTTCTCTGGGTACCCAACATTGTTCGGTTGCTGCAGTTACTCCAGCGACAGCCGAGGCGCGATGAGCATCTGAATGGGCCACCACTCCAGAAAGACGAGCTCGCGCAGACCCGTAAGGAAGGACCCCGGCGCCTCTCAGCAGGAGAGACTGGGGTAATATCAGACGACCAGGCCACTTAACCCTCGCCGCCTTCGTCGGTGCTCTTGGGTCTCAGTTTGGGGGTTTGAGGGCCTAAGAGGCTCGAACGTTCGCGTCGCGTTTGGCTACAACATGCAGAGGTGAGGTCATGGGACGGACCTTGGCTCCCGTGTTGACTTTCAGTCCGGGGTCTTAACGGCAGTATTCATCTGTTCATGAGTTTGGCCTCAGGAGACAGATGATGGCTCTTATTGCCAGGCTGGTGCCTTGTCCTTGTCATACGAAAAGTTTGATGATGACAATCATGAACAGAATGTCGCAATCCACGACAGGTACACTCACACATGGCAAAATGCGACACTCGAGGGACCAATTTTGACGAGATCTGGGCATTTGTGCTCATGCCGGGGTCGGCAGGCAAAAAGTCAGAGAAAGCCGAACTTCAAGCAGCTCATGCATGTGGCTCGCTGATGTAAAGTTCTACACATGCGCTGCCTATGACAATCCTCCACATCACCAGCAGTAGGTAGCGCCTCGGCAATTGGTGGCTCATCATCTTCATCTATGTCGCCCAGCTGCCGGCAGTGGCGCTCCTGGTCAGGGTGGAAAAACATCATGCATGCAGCAGTCCTGGTCCTGTGGCTGTCGGCTGACATGGTTGGCAATACTTGTAAGAAATGCTGTAGCTGAGCTGTACCTCTGTAGTGACACAAGACCCGAGGAACAAGTCGAGGCCTCTGCTGACATGCACTCAGAACCACTGATCGGCGGAAGCATGATACTCTTGCGCCGCAGTGCAAACACAAACGTTCTTTCTCGTTACGACTGCTTCCTCTGACAGGAGTGGGTAAGAAAAGACCAAGACTCTGAGTTCTTGGGCTTGGGCTGCTGCTGCTGCTCTTACTACTACTGCATTCTGCTAGCATAGAAAATATAGCAGCCCCTGAACAAGTCCTGGAGGATGCTCCGCAGCTGGACGCAGACCTCCTCGAAGCGGCAGGCATCCAAGCGCCGATCCATGATTTGCCTCTGGTCTTGGACTTTTTGTTGCAGCAGAAAGAGTAGTTGCGAGTGGCTTTGAAAGCTAGAAGCAGGCGGAAAAGGACTGAATTCGCACGCAGCCCAGATGCGGGCGGGTGAGTGCAACTTAAGTTACAGCTACAGTTGCACCACTTCGCATGTCACGTGGACTGGAGGCGGGCTCACTGCTTAGGGGTATGTCCGGCACAGGCTTTCCCGTTCGAAAGAGTTTAGGTTCCAACCCTTGGGCCAACGCCTGAAAGCCATTGCTTAATCTAGGGGCCTTGATAACTAGAATAGGGTATACTATAAATATAATAAGGAACCCCCAAAAATAGTATAGATAACTAGAATAGGGTATACTATAAATATAATAAGGAACCCCCAAAAATAGTATAGATAATTAGAATAGGGTATACTATAAATATAATAAGGAACCCCCCTAAAAATAGTATAGATAACTAGAATAGGGTATACTATAAATATAGTAAGGAACCCCCAAAAATAGTATAGATAATTCCCTAAACCCTAAACCCTAAACCCTAAACCCTAAACCCTAAATTAAGGCCCCTATATTACCTGTAGGGATTGGCTCAAGGCTCAGCTCAACTGCAGGGTCTGGGGAGTTGGGCTTTCAAGGGTTTAGGGTTTAGGGTTTAGGGTTTAGGGTTTAGGGTTTAGGGTTCTGGGCATCTTCCGTGCAACCCAGCTTCCTGACAGCAGATCTCATGACGTCCTCCTTGACGTGTAGATACCTGGTGGTCTCGGGGCTCAGGGGATCGGATTCCATCCGTCATGATCTTATCAGCCTCGTCATTGATATCATCATCGTCGTCCCACCCTTGAACGGCCATGACAAAGTAGCAACTTACTTTAGATCTTTGCCTCCCCTCATGCCAACAAGAGGAAAGCAGAAAACATAGCACCTGTTTGGACGACCGGCGGAGGCTATGACAGCGCAAGCAACATTCCGGAAACAGTCGAATGGTAGAGGCATTCATGACCATTGCGGGCAACGCTAGCAAGATCAAGTTGTGGCCAGCCCCAGGACCGTGTTGAAGTCACAGCTGATCCCACTAAGATTGAGGCTTTGAGACTTCGGGTGAAAAGCTGCCTTCTGGGGTTTCGGATCTCGTGTCCCGGCCCAAGAGCAAGAAGAGCACCACCTTGAAGCGACCCTTAAAAAAGTTGCCGAAAGCCCGGCGACTTCTCCAGCTCCCGGTACCGCGCGCAGGGCTTGCTGGCAAAGAAGAGACCCATGGGCACAAGCCTCGGAGGGATTGGGAAGTACAGTAATGTCGGGGCCTTAGTAGCTGGAATGGGGTTTTGGGATCTATTATACTAGAGTTAAAATAAGAAGCCCCCAAAATAATATAGGTAATTATTAGGGCCCATGTTAGGGTTTAGAGTGCAGTTTTGCTGCTTGTGTTGGAGGACTTTTATGGACTCTACGGCTTCGCGAAAAGGAACTCCCTCTGCTTACAAGGCTTCCTTCCCAGGAGATCGGAGATTGAGGCCCTTGGTTCAGGGCTGAAGTTTCCGTTCTCTTGAGGGTGTCACACGGGGTCTGGCTGCAAAGTGTTCCATGCGCCCCGCGCTTCACGTGTTGGTGTGTTGGGACTTTGGCAAATCGAAGCTTCGTCTTCCATGTACTTACAGGGGGTCGGAATGTGCTTCGGAGTTTCAGGGTTCCGGTTCTTTGGCACGGCTGACGGAGGTTACTCATCTCGGCAAGCCAGGGGATCAAAACTGGGTTCCCATGAGTAACTGCTTTGGCTGGCATGTGACAAACCTTTTGCACCACACCCTCCTGGCTTGGGAACCCCAAATCCGGGGCAACCCCAAGTTGCGAAGAAGCCTCGAGTAAGTGGTCAATTCGCCAAGATGATTGATGGCGAATCTTGCCGAATGCATACGTCGAGAAATATACTAGTACTAGGTCACTAGGTACACACGAGGACCCTGTCTGCCGCGTCATAACGGGGATCCTCATGTGTAGGGCAATCCTGCCCTTAACCTTAGATCGCATTCACCCACCTAAGACTTAAGACTAAACACCCAGTTCGGCTACTGTACCCAACTCTGCTGACTATGGAGGCCAGCTGCTCAGCTACGAAGTCATCCATCGAGAAAAGGAAGACCAAACTCAGTGTGCCTTTTGCTTGGAGTTGCTCTGGGCTTCCACTCTCGTTTCGCTCTGAGGGTTGTCGCTAAGGCTCTAAGGCCAAGCATAAGGCAAAAGCTTCGGCTCTGCAAGTAAATCTCTCAAGCCCGGTACACGCTGCCATCTTCACTCTTCAAAGCCTCAAAGCCCGGCCTGGAACGATGTACTGCACCGCGAGCTTGGTGGCTTCCAAGATAAAGGTGCCTTGAACGCATCACTGGATGATGAACTCAATATTCAGCAGTCGGCGGTCAAGGATGCCTTGCCTTTCGGAGTCCTCTTGAAGGTACTGGGCCCTTTGTTGCCCCCTCCATGCCCCTCCCATAAGAAGCAGCACAGCTCGAAAAAAAGCCTTGTTAGCCCCCCTCCTCCCCCCCCCCCCCCCCGAAAGTGCTTGCTTTCAACCCGAAGACAAACTAAACCCTAAACCCTAGACCCTAA